GAATTTTGAGAACCAAGATGACTGGAAAAAATGCAAGCGGTAGATTAAGCCAACAGTTCAGAAACTAATTAAAGAATCGAAGTAGTTTCAAAGAACCTGCATCAAGCCAACAGTTACTAATACAACGGAGTTGATAGTCGACCACAGAGTTACACGTTCCAGATTTGCATTCATTATTGCTCGATCGCGAGCTTCGTAAGCCCGTAACAAGGACTGATGGTATTCAACTTGGTTCAGTCGGTTCTTGATGTTATTCGATGCCGTCTGAAAATGTGGATGCGATGAATTATGTAAAACCGAAAAAATTCATAAGCTAAGTTTACGCGTCGTTCCGCCCTCTTGAAATTATCACTTTCTTACGATGGCCACATGATTAGCTGAAATTCGGTGCCTCTGATACTGCTATAATTTCCAGTATGCCTGCACCTGCGGATGGTATCCGTTATGATAACGCATAAGAAGTTCACAAACAAATGAGGTGAAGCACGAGGAAAAAAGAATTACTCACACTTAGTAATTTACAGTTCTTGAAACGAAGTTAAGAATTAAAGAACTGCAATACTTTTTTATTCTTCCTGCGCTCAGGACATTTCTTCCGGCGACCCGGCGGCTTGCTTATACCCTCGATAAGAAAAGTCTTCACTGACAGTACAGCATTCAATTCTTGGACCTCTCATCGACAGTAAATCGACAATCTCAAGCAGATCTTCAAGCGGTTCACAGACATGGCAGCTCAAAGGTCTCAACTACATGCTCAGTGAGGCAGAACCTCGAAAGCCAATTTTACAACTGCTTTGGCTGCAAAGATGGCTGAATATGGGTTTGCATTATCGTGCAGCAATAACGCTTGATTCGACGTTAAGAATGGATGTTTGCTGTGAGTGACTAGCTTCAGTCTGCTGGTAATCATTTCACTGTAACCACACTGCTATCTGTAGACTTCTGGTAATGTTCCACCACTAATCCCTACGGATCCCAGGAAAATGTTATCATCACTTTTTCTTCGGTAAAATAACCGAGTATTTTCGCCTGATAGTTAAGCATTTGAATTGTGACTCAAAATATTTAACATCACAAATGCTCACCACACTATCAACTTTCTATTAAACTAACCGCAAAAGTGCAATAATTTCTGAC